TAGTAATTTCTATCTAGTGATATACCAATGAATTCAAAAAGAAGACGAATTATTGTATACGGTTTGGTCACTCGTTACGGTCCGTGAACCAGTTACTAACGCAAGAGGTTAAAAAAATTGCTCTTATGATATTGTAGGCACCTGTAGATGCTCGGAAAATTTTATCGACCATAATTCCAGCAAATCTCATTTGAACCAAATGTAAGTGAACCCTAATTCAACAATTACATATTCCGTTAGTCATGTATTATTTAAATACGTTTATTTTACAGTTTTTTTTTTTTGTTTTTGTTTTATCCTTAAAATATAAAATATAAATTATAAAATGAAAAATTGGGATAATAAACTGGTCAGAAAAAGTACATGCAAACATGACGCAATAAATGATTTATGTTGCGTACATTCATATTTTATAGATACAACGTGATTGTTTGATAAATTTTAGTACGATCACCGTAGTAAAGAGAAAGAATCTATGTACTTTATTCCTCGAACGTATATTAAATAAGATGTATGCAACAAAATATATATTCTTATACAATGTAAATTACAACGAATTAACTAAACTACTCTCTATGCTTAAATTCTCTTTTTTTAATTAATTGACAACGACTGTGTGTTTATCTCCTTAATGACTGTTATATATACAGGGTGCCCCAGGATTTTCCCTCCAAACTGCGACAGCTTATTCTAGATGTCAAATCAAGAAAAAAATGTTATATGAAATTTGCGAATTAACGCTTTGTTACAAAGATATAATCAGAAATAAATGGTGTTTTACTAAGTGTTTCAGTATTTCAGTCGTTTCTTTTCTTCGAACCAGCCTGTTTCATATTTGGAAATGAGTATTGATAAACACAGATCTATCCGATATTTTTGTAACTACGTAAACCTATGCGGTGTTTTGAAACAAAAGTTTACTCGACCGAAGTGACTTCATATGAAGATCTTGTGCAGCGTATTAAAAATGCAACAACATACTGAGACACTGCATAGAGCAATAAATTCAGTTTTTCATCGATGTCAAGCTTGTATACGAGCAGGAAGGCATCATTTTGAGACTTTAAAAATAGTGAGTAACTATTTATTTATTTATATCCCCTTAACAAAGAGTTAATTCGCAAACTTCGTATAACATTTTCTTCTTCTTTTGGCCCCTAGATTAAGCTCTCGCATTTTGACAGGGAAATCCCGGGACATCCTGTATATATCCCCAACGATTATTTATAAATCTCCTTGACGATCATTATGAAAAGCTTAATGTTAATTTTTAGTATGTATACTAACAATTCAATGCAGAATACGAATAAATAAATAATATTGGTTTGATGTAGTGGAATTCGGTGTTTTGATTATTTTAACATACTTTCTCAGAAATGCACGCCTAACGAAAAACTTCTTACGTCAAAATTTACCGTATTCAAAAGGTTAACGAGGGAAAATGGGAAATTCTTCGTTTCAACAGGGATTTCTCATTTACTTTCTCATCTTTTTCCCGGTGCTCCGATTCTGACGAGCGAAAACAACACCGATTGATTACGGAAAATCAAACGACCACGTTGTCGATTGATTACGTTTAGTACTGACCACAAAAATGTTCCTTCAGTGAAGGACACGAGCGTGTAATATCCCCACTGTGGAAGGCGGCCGATCAACACCATCGTTTGCACGCTGGCGAGCAGGATTGCCACACTGACGGAATGAAAGATCCACTGAGGCGGATACTGTCGATAATTGTCGTGTAATTCATTTCCTTCAAATATGCTCGTAAGTGAGCTAGCACTTAGATGGCAGTAAGTACCAATTGAAACTGCCAATGATATTCCCACAATGGAGATCGATAGCCACGTCTCGAGCTTCAAATAATATCTGAAACTATGCATCTTTAATTAGTTATAAGTATGTATCTTTATTATATATAATAAATACTATATTATATATCTTAATTATATATATATATATATATATATATATATATATATAAAATCTATGGGGTATATTGAAAAAAAAAATTCTAGACTAATACAAATCTCCTCCTAGGTCAGTACTGGAACTACATGCTCGTAGAACAGTGGAATCAAATGCCACCTGATTTCTGCTCAAGACTGAAAGTGTGCCAAGACGTATTAGAGCTATTATCTAAGCAAATGGACAAAATATTAAGGTATGATAAAGCTTGTAAATCTGACTATGAAAAAATTCTCGTGTAAAATTGATTCTATGTTTTNTTAATTTTTTCAGCCAGGAAGAAACCTAATCTTAAAAGTTAAAAAATAGCTTCAGTTTCCTAAAACTATAAAGAATCAGATGGTCAAATTTATTTTCATGTTTTTATACTTTATTTAACAATAAAAAATATTTTTCTCAAAAAGTTTTGTTATTGACTCAATTTTGCATCCCACTGTCTATATATATATATATGTTACATACCTTTGATTAGTTACAAGAGATGTATTTTTGGAAAATGTTTAAACAATCTCAACTACGTAAATATGGACTTCTAATGTTTATACAAACTCAAATCTTCATCGACATAACCGAGTAATGAGAATTGTTGACAATTTGAAACAGAAGTTTCGTGATAGAGAAACAGAATTTTATAGACGAATGATAAGACGAGCAAAATGAGAAATACATTTTCGTTGTTACCTTTTTCAAAAATTAAATATTACACGTCGCGTGCGGGAAACGTATGAATTTCGCGTGTTAATTCTGTTCGAGTTACAAACGAACCTAGGCACCATCAACGCCTGCATAATCGGATTGTAGAAAAGCAAGATGTAAGAAAACGAACCGAGTCCCAGAAAAATCCCATTCCACAGGAGGAAATTATTCTCGGGTCGCAACATCGTTATGGAGTTAACCAGACAGGGATAAGACCAGCAAGACGTGGAAAATATAGAAGTATATTTTCAGCTTGGACCACTTTCCCCAGAGGTACACCTCCACCAACGGATGTTGCAGTATCGTTTCTTTCATGTTCGTAGTTGCTCTAATAAGAGACACAACTACTTCCATTTGCAGCTCCTTTTCCGGCGCTAACACGGCGGTGTTAACGAGGATCTTCAACAGAAGACAAGCGTGTAAAGAAGAGAAGACATTTTTTTGAGAAGAAGATTTTAACCTCTTGCGCTGGAATGTCGCGTCACGCACGTCGAGAATTCCTTTGTCCCAAAGAGTTGCGATATTTTCTCAGTTTTGAACGAATCGGTATTACGGATACCGATAAAATCCCGGTAATTTTAGGTTACTATTCGATTACGTTTGATGAAATCGAAACGGTGCGAATACCGGTATGATGCTATCGAAACGATGTTAGATGTATTTCGGTATAATACCTGTAAATGAAATATTAATATATTAGAAAAGGAAAAGGAGACAATGATTAAATGTTTTCTGCCTCTAAATAAATCTGCCGATAGTAAATTCGATGACGCTTATACACGTACACTTTGTTTATTTTTATTAGCTTCTTCATTAGTTTTTTTTTTATTTTTTATTTATATTAGCGGATAGCAGGGCTACCCAACAAAATATTAATTATCGCTTATGTTAACAATTTTCAGGTTCAAATGTCCGAATATTTTTGCCACGCTACATTTCGACATAATTCAGTTTATTGTTTGATATTAAGAAAAGTACGTGCAATAAATAAATAAAATTTACGTTACTATAAACTACAACGAATGTTCTATTATATTATTAAAAAATTAATTCAAATTTACTATTATAAACAATCGAGATCCACAACAATATTTTGAACAGCATGATGTCCGAATGTTAATAAGAGTCACTGTACGTAGAAAATAAAAAATGTGTTTTCGTCAGTAAAGCGGTACCGTATCGGTATATATTTCGGTATTTTTACCGTTGTGGACATCAAATACCGATAAGATACGTATGAAAATACCGCTATGACTGTCTTATACCGATATTAAAACCGATTTCCCAAATAGCGGTTATGTTACAATAATATGGGAGCAAATACCGGTGTAATACCTAAACCTCACAATATTTCGGTTTCAGTCTCTGGGTATAATACCTAAACCT